TAGTGGAAAAAAAAAATTTCCAGTTTTTTTCTGTATGTTTTATTTAACTTCACCTTAAGGTGTAGTATGAGTAAAATTGGTTTGTAAATAAGATTTTCACTTTTTATTTGAACTCCCCCCTTAAATTTAATTTAAAAAGTGTTATTTATCATTTTGTTAAGAAAGTATGCCATTGTATATTTAATGGTAACTAGGGATGGCTCAAGTAAAAGTTTCAATTTTAACAGTTATTTGTAGTCTTTTTAACGGTAGTCTTTACAATCATTTAAACATGCCAGAATTTTCAAGTGATAAATGAATATTACATCGTTGTAGTGTTGTGGTGCCGGTGCGTGTGTGAGTTAGTGGTAGTTTTGGGGTCAACGTCGCTGTCAGTGACCTAGATATACATGCCTGTCCGCTGGCCGCTGCGCGCAACACGTTGATCTGCCTTGCAAAGGTTTACTTGTCGTGTTGTTGTTTTTTCCTAATATATTCTCCGTTAGACAAATCGATTGTATTAGGTATAGTAACAAATAAACGTAAACAGCCCCGTTTATTTACAGGTTCTATAAAACCGAATTGGGTTTATGCCTTTTCCAAGCTATAAAACACTATTAAAATACAACCCATGCAGTTTCTATCTAAAACCTATCGAACAAAGTGATATTGAGGGGAGCGGTGTTTGGTGTAGTTTATGTCCACTGGAGGGAAGGAGACGTAGCTCTAGTCACGCAACACGCTTGCCCCAAGGTAGGCCCACCGACCGACTGGCCATGAGCTACATGGAGATTCTGCTGTCTGCTCAGTCGTCGAACAAAGTGATATTGAGGGGAGCGGTGTTTGGTGTAGTTTATGTCCACTGGAGGGAAGGAGACGTAGCTCTAGTCACGCAACACGCTTGCCCCAAGGTAGGCCCACCGACCGACTGGCCATGAGCTACATGGAGATTCTGCTGTCTGATCAGTCGAACAAAGTGATATTGAGGGGAATTGTGTTTGGTGTAGTTTATGTCCACTGGAGAGAAGGAGACGTAGCTCTAGTCATGCAACACGCTTGCCCCAAGGTAGGCCCACCGACCGACTGGCCATGAGCTACATGGAGATTCTGCTGTATGCTCAGTCGTCGAACAAAGTGATATTGAGGGGAGCGGTGTTTGGTGTAGTTTATGTCCACTGGAGGGAAGGAGATGTAGCTCTAGTCACGCAACACGCTTGCCCCAAGGTAGGCCCACCGACCGACTGGCCATGAGCTACATGGAGATTCTGCTGTCTGCTCAGTCGTCGAACAAAGTGATATTGAGGGGAATGGTGTTTGGTGTAGTTTATGTCCACTGGAGAGAAGGAGACGTAGCTCTAGTCATGCAACACGCTTGCCCCAAGGTAGGCCCACAGACCGACTGGCCATGAGCTACATGGAGATTCTGCTGTCTGCTCAGTCGTCGAACAAAGTGATATTGAGGGGAGCGGTGTTTGGTGTAGTTTATGTCCACTGGAGAGAAGGAGACGTAGCTCTAGTCACGCAACACGCTTGCCCCAAGGTAGGCCCACCGACCGACTGGCCATGAGCTACATGGAGATTCTGCTGTCTGCTCAGTCGTCGAACAAAGTGATATTGAGGGGAGCGGTGTTTGGTGTAGTTTATGTCCACTGGAGAGAAGGAGACGTAGCTCTAGTCACGCAACACGCTTGCCCCAAGGTAGGCCCACCGACCAAATGGCCATGAGCTACATGGAGATTCTGCTGTCTGCTCAGTCGTCGAACAAAGTGATATTGAGGGGAGCGGTGTTTGGCGTAGTTTATGTCCACTGGAGGGAAGGAGATGTAGCTCTAGTCACGCAACACGCTTGCCCCAAGGTAGGCCCACCGACCGACTGGCCATGAGCTACATGGAGATTCTGCTGTATGCTCAGTCGCCGAACAAAGTGATATTGAGGGGAGTGGTGTTTGGTGTAGTTTATGTCCACTGGAGAAAAGGAGACGTAGCTCTAGTCATGCAACACGCTTCCTCCAAGGTAGGCCCACAGACCGACTGGCCATGAGCTACATGGAGATTCTGCTGTCTGCTCAGTCGTCGAACAAAGATATATTGAGGGGAGCGGTGTTTGGTGTAGTTAATGTCCACTGGAGAGAAGGAGACGTAGCTTTAGTCATGCAACACGCTTGCCCCAAGGTAGGCCCACCGACCGACTGGCCATGAGCTACATGGAGATTCTGCTGTCTGCTCAGTCGTCGAACAAAGTGATATTGAGGGGAGCGGTGTTTGGTGTAGTTTATGTCCACTGGAGAAAAGGAGACGTAGCTCTAGTCATGCAACACGCTTGCCCCAAGGTAGGCTCACCGACCGACTGGCCATGAGCTACATGGAGATTCTGCTGTCTGATCAGTGGAACAAAGTGATATTGAGGGGAGCGGTGTTTGGTGTAGTTCATGTCCACTGGAGGGAAGGAGACGTAGCTCCAGTCAAGCAACACGCTTGCCCCAAGGTAGGCCTACCGACCGACTGGCCATGATCTACACGGAGATTCTGCTGTCTGCTCAGTCGTCGAACAAAGTGATATTGAGGGGAGCGGTGTTTGGTGTAGTTTATGTCCACTGGAGGGAAGGAGACGTAGCTCCAGTCAAGCAACACGCTTGCCCCAAGGTAGGCCTACCGACCGACTGGCCATGATCTACACGGAGATTCTGCTGTCTGCTCAGTCGTCGAACAAAGTGATATTGAGGGGAGCGGTGTTTGGTGTAGTTTATGTCCACTGGAGGGAAGGAGACGTAGCTCCAGTCACGCAACACGCTTGCCCCAAGGTAGGCCCACCGACCGACTGGCCATGAGCTACATGGAGATTCTGCTGTCTGCCCAGTCGCTAACGTCTATTGTTACTACCAGTGTTGGGGAAGCTACTTTTAAAATGTAGCTAGCTACAACTACTGCTACATTTCCAAAAAAGTAGCTTAGCTACAGCTACAGCTACAGTTCCGAAAAAGTAGCTAGCTACAACTACAGCTACAATGAAATGTAGCTACAGCTACAATTTTAGCTACTTTTCCAAAGACGTTACTTTTTATTCCACGCACATTAGGTGAATGTAAAATTAATTGCAACTACATTTTTTATTGAACAAACATTTAAGCAAAAAATGTCAGTATTGTATCCAACATTACTTGGAAAACAAATTATTCCTAGACTGTATTTAATTTGTTGGCATTATAAACCTAACATTACAACAACAGAACCAAATAGTTGGGTGTCCCATATCATATTTAGTACTTATTTTTAAATAGGCTATTGCATTATTTTTAAGCATCTTATATGTAAATTTCATCAAGTTCAAAGGACATACAACCAAACGATATTTTAAAAGCTCATTTTATTATTTCTTTAATATAGATTCATTTATAGATGTCTTATATCAACAATTAAGACCAATAAAGTGTAAAACGAAACGATTATTTAAAAATACTTTTTTGTGTTACAGAGCCTACTGAAATTGGAGTTTATTGCCTTTCTTTACTTTTAATGTGAAAAACGACATTGCTATAACTTTTAACCATAGTGATCATAACTTCATACTTGTTCTATGAATAACACTTTTCAATGTCAATTCAAGAAATCGTCCTTTATTGTCATTATGCATAGGGCAAATTGTGCTTCAACCTAGTTGGTACAGAAAACAGCATTCAGCAACTTATCCTGAAATCGGCTTTTAATTTAAACATGTTGAAATTTGTAAAGTAAAAATAACATGTAGGCCTTGGCTATGTAACAAGTTGGCTATAGTAGGCTTGTTCTTGCAAGGACTAAACAGATATATTCCTAATAATTGAACTTGATGGAACTTGGTATTCGTCTTAAACCATAGTATAGCCTAGGAATAGTCCTGTACAAGAGCTGTTTTTTCAATGTAAGTTTCATGTTATATGGAGATTTTTTCGTCACAATTATCATGTAGTCTAGGCATATCTTAAATCTCATCTGGTAATTTCCTCTTTGTTAATTTAGTACTGATTAAATCATCAACAATTGATAGAACTGCACTTATAGTGCTCTTACCCATCTGATAGCCAAATTGTGAAGCACTAATTAGGCTCAGCCGATTAAAGTAGGTACATACCTGGAGTTTTACAACTTGTTCAACAACCTTAATATATGTCAATCCAAATTCCTTTAACACATTTTTAAATTTAATTACAGTAGGGCGTTCTGTCGTGACGTTAAAATATGCATTATAGTCACCGCCAATGTAAACTTCACACTTAAAATTCGATAGACAGTTTAAAAGTACTTCTAGTTTATCCAGAAAGAGGTTAGGGTCTCCTTGAGGCGACTGACATAGGCTAACTACTATTATCTTTAAACTTAAAAGTTTGACCACCGCTACTTCAAATGTCAATTCTTCACAGAGCCAATTTAAATTTATTTCTTCGTAAGATAGGTTGGCCCTGAGATACACAGCTACACCACCTTTGACATGTTCTTTCCTACAATAACTTGCAGTCAGCAAAAATCCATCAATCACCTCGTACTGTATGGCATCATCCTTCTTCCAGTGCTCACTGAAACACATTATACTTAAATCATGTTGTTTTGTCATAAGGCTAAGAAAGTTTGATTTACCGGAAATACCTTCAACATTTAGGAACAAAGCTTTTACTATTTGTACTATTATACTATTTTAATATTGTACTATTTTTTACTATTTGCTTTTAGCTACTGTTCTCAAAATCAATGTGTGTGAATCGGCCGCCAAATTGTAAATTAGCTGTTCTACACGTTTGAACAGCTACCCTTTCTCCTCCTCCTCCTCCAGAACAGCCCTATATAGCTGTTCTGTATTGTATTCAGTTAATTGACTACTCGATTCCCGTATGTAGGATGGGCCAACAGCTCGTTAGTTATTTTATTTAAGTACATTCTGCAAGCTACATGAATATTTTAAAATGGGGATGGATAGACTACTTCATATACTTAATAATTGTAAATACACTTCAGAATGACTTTACATGGCCAGAACATTGCTGTTTCAGATGGTTCGGCCAGGAGAGAGAATACAATGTGTTAGTAATGGACCTGTTGGGACCATCACTAGAAGATTTGTTCAATTTCTGTTCACGTCGCTTCACCATCAAAACAGTTTTGATGTTGGCTGATCAGATGATTGGGCGGATAGAGTACGTCCATTGCAAGTCTTTCATTCACAGAGATATCAAGCCAGACAACTTTTTAATGGGCATTGGGAGACACTGTAACAAAGTGAGTACCTGTTGTGTTTCATTTCCAAACTCCACTTTACTTTGTGTAATGGTAAGCTGATGTTTGGTTTTTGGTAATGGGTCTTTGGTCGTAAATTTTCATGTCTGATTTTTTGTTATTGTTCAATTGTACTAAAAATTAGAAATACAAATATATAAGAAAACATTTTTTATTTTGAATATTAAGCGAGATATGGAGCATGAAAGTAGTAAATTTTTCATCTTTATCTTTGGTACCAATTCACAGGGAGAATGGGTAATGCGATTCTCACCAAAATTGGCATTCAGGTGTGGAAAAATAAGATAATAATCACTGGCTATTTAAAATTAAAAATTTTAAAAATCTTTTTAAATTTTATTTTATTATAATTTTTTTTTAATTATTAAAATTGTTAAAAAAAATTTTAAATTAGTTCTTTGTTTTTGGGGAAAATTTATCTGTATGTTGAAATTAAAAAAATTTGATATGTTAATTCGTTTGGGCTGTGAATTCGTACCTTTGATGCCTTGCGCTGTCGGAGCACTACTCGTTGAGAGTTTGTACACTAACACAGGGGCTTTAGAATACTTTAACATCACGTAATTATAAACATCTTATAACATTGAAAGAATACGTTTATCGTTGTATTCTAAAGCCCCGGTGTCAGTGTACACACTCTCAACGAGTAGTGCTCCGACAGCGCAAGGCATCAAAGGTACGAATTCACATCCCAAACGAATTAACATATCAATTTTTTTTTTTTTTAATTCCAACATACAGATAAATTTTCCCCAAAAACGAAGAGCTATTTTAAAATTTTTAAAAAAATTTTATAATTTCAAAAAAAATTATAAAAAAAATAAAATTTTTAAGTTCTAAAAATTTATAATTTTAAATAGCCAGTGATTATTATCTTATTTTTCCACACCTGAATGCCAATTTTGGTGAGAATCGCATTACCCATTCTCCCTGTGAATTGGTACCAAAGATGAAAAATTTACTACTTTCAAACTCCATATCGCTTAATATTCAAAAAAAAAAAAAAATTTCTTATATATTTGTATCTCTAATTTTTAGTAGGTACAATTGAACAATAACAAAAAATAAGAAATAAAATTTTTGACCAAACACCCTTAAGGTTTCCGACATTTTTTTACAGTACTGTACTTGATGGTCACCTATAGTTATTGTTTTTATTGTCCACAGTATTGACATCCACAGTCTGTGGAGGGCACCCTTAAGTGCAAGATATAGATTATCATGAGTAGGTAAATACAAGAAAGATTTTTTTAAGCAAGAGCCTTTTTACTTTCTCCCCCTATACCATAGTATATGGAGAAAGTATTGTTTTCGTCAAAATTTTCGAGTTAGAGTTTTGAGTGGATATATCCGTTTTGGGTCCCCCTGGACCCCAAAAAATGGTTTTTGAAGTGATGTCTGTGTGTCTGGATGTGTACAGAGCTACAGACCACACTTGTAGTCCGATTTTGATGAAATTTGGTATGTAGGTACTAATCCATGGTATCTCCCGGCGTTTTTTCATTTTTTTGAAATTTAGATTTTTAATGACAATTTTCCTATAAAAACCCATAAAATAACGGAAAATCGGATTTTCTAAAAAATGGCCCAATGGATTTTGTTTGATGAAAATTTAGTATGTTGTACCCCTTTAAATTCTGAACAAAATGGAAGAACTCCCATTTCTGTAAAAATTATGGTTCAAAGGTTATTGCAAATTATGTTATTTTCCCATAAAAAAACCCCATAAAATAGGAGAAAATCGTATTTTGAAAGAAACCGGTTTAGATTGAAATTAGTATGGTGGTAATACTTATAATTCCAAACAACATAGTGCAACCCCCCATTTCTGTAAAAAATATGGTTGTTCAAAAGTTATTGTTACTTATGTTATTTCCCCAAAAAAACCCATTTAAAAAAACGGAAAATGGATTTTTTGGAGAAAAACTGATTCTGATTGAAATTCTTTTGTTATGGTCCTTTTAATTCTAAACAGTTCTAAATAGTGCATCACTCCATTCATGTTAAAATTACTGTTCAAAAGTTAATGAAACTTGGGAGATTTTACCTATTAACTACCATAGTTACTCTCATCGCTTACCCATGAAAATGGTTGTTGACAAGCTAATGGGAGAAAGTATGTGTCAGATTGCTGATACCTAGTGATGTGGGCCGGGCAAATGCCCAGTGGGCGGGTCGTTTATAAATGGGCATTTGTCCGGGCATTTGCCCAAAGCGATTTTAAGCGCCCAAAAACTGGGCGTTTATAAAAAGTTCAGTTTAAGGCGTAATACAATAAAACCTGTAATATTTTCAGTGTGGTATTTTAAATAAATAATTTTCTAAATTGTTAAATAAAATCTTATATACTGATTAAGCAGGTTTCAACTCTGCAATTCATAAATATGTGCATAAGATAAATATATGATGTCTAATTAATTAAATTTAAAGTTAAGTATTAAGGTTTTGTTAGTAAAAACAAGTGCTAAATTAATTCTATTACATTAGCCAGATATTGTTATTTTTATTATTATTTTTTATTATTTTTGTTTATTATTATTTTTTATTATTTTTGTTTAGTATTATTTTTTATTATTTTTGTTTATTATTATTTTTATTTTAAATAAAAATAAACCTATGAAGTTATTTTCAGTCTAAATTATTTCCTCTTGTCGACAAAAGAAAAGTGTTGACTCTCTAGTACTGACTTCCTACCAATATAAAATTAAAATTATACAAGTAGGCCTAATTATTTTTTTTTATATAGGCTATTATGTAAATATCTAATGTTAGAAGTTTAAAAAGTTGAATAGAAGAGTAGTGTTCAATTTAATTTCCATTAATTAGGTTTATTAGCCTTTAACTGGATAAACGCCCGGCGCTTATGGATTTTGGGCTGTTATATGGGCAAATTCCCTGGGCATTTGCCCCGAGATTTAAACGCCAGGGCGTTTTACATCACTACTGATACCGTTTATTTGTGTATGGCCCTGTAGTTCGGGCTTACGCCGCAACAAGACTCCTAGCCAATTACTGATTTGTGAACATAATGACATCCTTTGCAGCTTTGTAGCTTTGTAACCGATGTGTACGCTTTGCCGTGTGTTTTTTAAAAGCAGCGGGAGATAAGGGTCAGTAATATTTTTTTGACCACAAGATACATATCCAATGCTGTCATTCATCGCCAGGGGGTTGAAGTTTATGACCCTAAAGTAATGATGGAAAGGAAAGTGCATTAATGGGCTTGGGCGTTTAAAATTGGCTGTGAAAATGTTCATTTTGTAAGAAATTGTGTTTTTGGCGGGTATCCAGACTTCTCACAGAATACCACGAAAAGAAAAGTAGGTATTCAATGCCATTTTTACACTTTATAACATCTTTCCGGACATTTAAAATTTAAAGAATTTGTTAAACACAGCGTAGCATACACCTCAGCTACAGAGCTGCAAATGGTGTCATACTGTTCATAAATAATGCCAGTAAGTAGTAAGGAGCTTAGTTGCAACATACATGTAAACTACAGAGCTATATACACAAAAACGACCCTTACTTAAAAAACTACTCTCGTACAGTTTTTAATATTTATGAGTAGCCTAATTTTTTGCCAATATCATACTATTGTATAGAACTTGAGAGTTACAGTACTGGTTTTAGAAAACAGAACTTGTTAGACTAGTATAATACTTATAGGCTAGGCATATTAGGAATATAAGTGGCAGTTAGCGGAAAGTTTAGGTACAGTCCTAATCATCACTTTTCTTTATGTTTTTTGGGTCGCTGAACACGAATATGAGGTTTGCTGACAGATATTTTGCCCGGAACATTGGTTATTTTGTGAAAAACCTAAAAATTTGGGCCCTTTTTTTGTTTTTTCGGGCAAATCTCGGTAAGTATGGGTTTTTGAGAAAATCCTGCTTTGTAAAATTAAAGATGACAAAATTTACTACAAGTTTCCGATATAATGTTTGTTTCTACGACTAACCGTTTCGCCACTAGAGCACACTAAAAAAGGCCAGAAGTACAAAAAATTAAAAACATTGCTAAATGCTGCCGTTTTACATTAGGTTTCCATGGAAACAACCCATGTTACGATAATTTTAACTATTTATTCATGATAACAAACTGAAACACACTTAAAAATACCCCCGCCACAGCAAACCTGCAGACTAAGCGAATTTCCATTTCCCTGATTGGATTTACACTAAAATGTCTCCTTAGAAATATGACATTTATTCCCTATTTAAATAAAAGTTTAACGAGTACTTAGGCTTGCTGCAACAGGGAGGGTAAAAGGTGTTTTTTGTAAAATGTAATAATTTGGTATGAAATGAATGCATTTTCCAAATTTGATCAAAATATGTTCATAAACAAGCAAACTACAACAGTTTACTTAGTCTCCATAAGAATAACATGAGCATTTTAAATTTACAGATTTTTGGAATTTTCTCCGTAACCATTAGGCGCATAACAACACTTTAATATACTAAATTATTTGTTTTTTAAGCTCTACAAAATGATATGGAAAGAAATCGCTAAATTTTAAGTTTATAGGGTCAAAAATAGGAAAATTAATTTTTACCCCATAAAACCCCCATAAATCCCTGTTCCCATAGTCCGATCATGCTGGGCAAAACCAAAAATGAAAATAAACCCTGACCGTTTTACAAAGGTTTTACATTGGGTTTCCATGGAAACAACCCATGTTACGATAATTTTAACTATTTATTCATGATAATGAACTGAAACACACTTGATAAATCTATGCCAAGATGTATGACTGACTGCTGGAATATTTCCCATTCCCACAAAACCCCCATTTATTTTCTCAGCACAGGGATGTTGCTGGCCACAGGGTTGACTGCTATAGTGATTGAGAAAAAAGGATGAAATACATTAAAAGAGTTGTAGATAACTTTTAACTTTGGTAACGTCAAATTCAGACGAGTAAACCGTGTCCAGCCACTTGCCATAGTGAATAACGCGATGAGAGTAGAGAATTCTTA